GGATACCCAGTGATGAAGAAGGGAATCTGAAAATCACTTATTCTATTCATAGAAAATGTACCCAGTTTTTAAAATTATTACTGACACAGAGAGGACCTCAAAATATCTTTTTGGAGCTGGAATTTGGGCATCTGAACTTAAGTTTTTCAAATTCAATTTGAAAAACTGAACTTAAGTTTTTTAATTCAATTCAGCAAATGTTCATTGAGCTCTTTCTCTGAGATAGACATTAATGAATTAAGACATGGCACGTTTGCCCCTCCCCAACACGGGAGACAGACAGGTACACAATGACATACCTTTCAGTGTGATACATTAAGCAAGAGTCTGGAACGATTCCTGGGGGAGACCATCCTTCAGCCTAGACTTCGAGGATGATTCAGGATTTGCCAGGCAGTTGGGAAGAAGCATTTTATACGCAGAAAGACAGACGAACGCTGGCCCGGCCTGGTGCATTCTGTATGATGGAGCAGAGAAAACAAGTGCAGGCTGGGAGGATGAGGCCAGAGGGCAAGTCCCCTCGTGGAGGGCCTTTTAAACCATGCTCAGGAGTCTGGAATTAATCCTAAAGGTCAGAGCAGTCAAGCTGGCTGCACCTGAGAATCACCTGGGACATTATGAAAAACAATTCATGCTCAAGCCCCAGCCCTGACCAATTAAGTCATCCTTTGTAAGAGTAAAACCAGGGCTTCAGTATTTTAAAAAACATGTCCCAAGTGATTCGAATGCCCACCAGGGCTGAGACTCATAGCTCTAAAAAAGAGATCTGCAAAGTGTTTCTCAAAAGGGCCAGATAGTATTTTCATCTTTGTGGGCCAACAGCCTCTGTTGCAACTACTCAACCCTGCTGTTCTGTGCGAAAGCAACACGGATGATATGTAAACGAGTGAGCGTGGCTGTATTCCAACAAAAGTTTTCTTAAAAGAAAGGCAGGGAAAGCCCTACCCTAGATGATGGGATGCCATTGAAGAATTTAAGAAATGATTTAAACTTTTTGTTTTGTTTATATGTGATTACATAAATGATATATGAATCCATCTACATTGTAAAGAAATCTAAACAATACAAAGCTCAAGGCCTTTTTATTTTTTTAAATTATTTATTTCTTTTGTGAGACAGAGTCTTGCTCTGTTGCCCCAGCTGGAGTGCAGTGGTGTAATCATAGCTCACAGCAACCTCAAACTCCTGGTCTCAATCCTCCTGCCTCAGCCTCCCGAGTAGCTGGGATTACAGGTGTACCACCACACCATACCCAGCTAATTTTTTTCTGTCTGTAGTAGAGACAGGGGTCTTGCTGTTGCTCAGGCTGGTCTCAAACTCTTGAGCTCAAGTGATCTTCCTGCCTCGGCTTCCCAGCGTGCTAGGGTTACAGGTGTGAGCCACCACGCCCGGCTCAAGGCCTTTTTATTCCCTTATTCAAATATCAGTCCTCGTCCTGGATAATAACTGTTAACAATGGGATGTGTATTTTTCTGGAACTTTCTCCTTGCTTTTTTTGTAAATACATCTACTAGAAAGATATTCTTTTGCTTTGTTTTGCTTTATAAATTAAAAATATATATTTATTGTTCTCAAACTTGCTTTTCCCCACATTATAATATGTTTTGGAGCATTTTCCACAGTAACAAATATCTATCTCTTTTTAGTTTTCGGATAGCATTATGAAATACGAAAGCCCCATTGCTCATTTAGCTATTTCCTGAGAGAGGCTGAACTATTTGAAATTGCAATATTATACTGCTTTTTCCTATAAAATGGCATTTTCAAATGGTTCAACCTCATAGTTTATGTCCAATTTTTTTTGCATTGTAACCATGACTGCTACAAGCTTCTGGCAATGTGTGCTCCTGTGTGTTTTTCTGGGGCAGTTTCTCAGACATAGAAGCAGTGGGTCCCTGAGCATATCACTTGGGAAGGAGTCTTTGGTTAAACCACAGACACTAACTCTGGCAAACTTCAGCATTAAGGCAAATTATTGGCAGACTACAGAGCAGCTCACAGGATGGAGGGGAAGGCTGAAGACCTGGTCTCTGTGGATTAATGGAGCCCAAGCTTGGCTTTGAGCCTTGTCTCGATTATAATATGTCTGACATAATCATCACGCAATATTTTTTAAAAAGGAAACTGATATTGATATAATACGATGTGTGTATAGTTCTGTCATTATAGCACATGTGTAGATTTACGTAAGCCACACTCCGAGCAAGATACAGAACTAGTCCATGACCACAGAGATCTCCCTTGTGTTACTTCTCTGCAGCCATACACAACCCTCTCCCCCCACCATCACTAAGCCCTGGCAACCAGCAATAATTATACTTGTTCCAGAAAATAAAAAAGTATGAAAGCTGCCCAACTTACTTTGTAACTTTGATTATAACTTTAATCCCAAAACTAGAAAAGGAAAAAAAAAGTAGTATAAAGATGAGAGCAAAAGGAATAAAACTGTTGAACTAATAAGAATCAGCACAGCAAGTTCAGCAAATTTGCCAGATATCAGAACAAATTACAAAAATCAACAGCATTTTTCCACACCAGCAGCAATCAATTAGAAAATATAATTGAAAATAAAATACCATGGAAAATAGCCAACTATACACTATTTAGGAATTGTCTTATATATCTGCTTTAAGTTTACCAAGGGAAAAAATGTAAAATTATAAGTAGGGATATAAAAAAGAGATTTGCATAAATTGCATGTTATCCAGTGATGGCTTAGTATAAAAATGATTTCAGCCCCCTCCATATAATCTATATATCCAAAGCAATTTCAGTCAATGGTCTAACTGGATGTTTTGGGGAACTCAATAAGCTTTTTCTGAAATTTGTGTACATGATTAATGGTCTATAAATAAGTAGCTCAACTTTGGAAAAAAAAAGACTAAAGGCAGCACACTTGATATACTACAAATCCATAATAATAAAAACCAGATGGTTCTGGTGCTAGAACCAGGGTTGGCTGCATGGGTACGCCACTGTGTAGTCACACTGGGCTCTACTCTTAAAGGAGCTTCATGCTTGGTTGAAGTGCGATTTGCTGTCATCGTCTTAAAATTCTTAATAGTTTTTAAACACAGGGATGTGCATTCTCATTTTGCACTAGCCCTTCAGGTTATGTAGCTAGTCTTGTCTAGAACAAACAAAACAAAATAGAGAACGTAGAGGCAGATCCATGTATATACGAGACCTTGATATAAAAAGAAACTTGCTCCACAAACCCATGATGAAAGGCAGAGCTATTTAGAGATAGTTTTGGGATATTTGGCCCACTTTTAGGAGAAAAAAACTCAGACGAATGACTCATGACTCAGATGAATTAAAGATCTAAATATGAAAGGTAAAACTATAAAGGTAGTAGAAGGTAATGTTAGAAAATCTCTGTGACCTATAAATGAGGAAAACACCAAAGCACAATCAATAAATATGATGGATCTGATTACATCAAAATTATGGATTTCTGTTCATTGAAGGACACCATAGATGAACTGACAGCTAACTGAGAGTAGATATTTTCAAGGACTCAGACAGACAGGATCAATATGTATACAGAATAATAAGGAGCTCTTGCAAATCAAAAAGAAAAATCCATAATGGGCAAGGGACGCAGTTTCAGAAGAGAAAACTTAAGGGGATGACTAACGAACTAAAATACTCATTCGTAAATTAGAGAAATGGAAATTAAATCAACAATTAGATACCATTTTATATCCACGAACTGCCCAAAATTAGCAAGCCGGACAGTACAAAGGAAAGACAGGAACCAGCATCCCCGGGGAACACAGATTGAGGCCATCACTCCGGCGAGTAATCTGGTCGGGTTTACACAGACGAAGCGTTTGTGGCCTTATGCTCCAGCAATTTCCCTCCCAGGTACATGTCTGAGCTTAATCATCACGCTGCTCTGCACAGAAGGAGTCGATCACAGTGCGTTTGTGTGGGTTGGAGTCGTCTATGGGTCCGTCACCCAGGGAATAGCTAAATCAAAGGTGGTGATGGGTTATTATACTGTGGCGAGAAGGCCTGGACTAGATGTGCACCTTACGGTCATAAAATGGTAAAAATGTCGCACTGAGCGACATATGTAGAAACAGGGTATTGGAAGCACAAAACCATTCATACAAATGACAAATACACACATACAAGACGAGAACACTCACGAATGAGAGGACACACAGCAAACGGAGCAGGGGGGAATCTGGGGAAGGGAAAGGGAGAGACGAATGAAGATGAAAGGAAATGAATTTTGAAAGTGAAGGAGAAAGGACATAGATAAGCACAAACAATAGCGGGGCTTTGCAGGAGTGGAGCTGAGTGCCGTCCACTTGATCACACCACCTTTCTGTTCTGAGGTTAAAAAAAAAATTAACTCTCTCCAAAGTAAGGTCCCACAAAACCAGATACAATTTTTTACAAGACATGAGTATTTTCTCCTGGGTGTGCACTGGCGGGGAGAAAAGAAAAGCTACCAAATTTTATTATCTTTTTTCACTCTCCAGAAAGCAGTGGGTTTTTTTTTTGAGATAGAGTCTGGCTCTGTCACCTGGGCTAGAGTGCAGTGGCGTCAACCCAGCTCACAGCAACCTCAAACTCCCGGGCTCCAGCGATCCTCCTGCCTCAGCCTCCTGAGTAGCTGGGACTACAGGTGCTCGCCACCACACCCGGCTAATTTTTCTATTTTTAGTAGAGACAGGATCTCGCTCTTGCTCAGGCTGGCGTTTTTTTTTTTTTGAGAAACCAAACTCTCCACCTCTTTCAGCAAGTTGACAGACCATGTAATAGCACAAGAAGGCAAAACACATCGTTGTTCCCCTCTGCCACCATGATGGGCTGTGTGTGCAAGATGCAGGCTCAAGGAGTGACATCTAACAAGATCTGTCTCTCTTCCTTTTTCAGTCATATACGTTTGATAGGTTAAGAAGGTGGAGCAGAGTACCTATAAATTCATTTAAAAGTGACACAAGGAAGTTAATTTTGCAAACTTCTTTTGCTTTGAAATTCAGTGTATGACTCCGTGGGGAAGCTTGGGAGCAATATTCTTAACGGAAACGTAGACAGGCTGGGATCTTACAGCGAGTGCCTCTCCGCCCACGCGCCCAAGGGGAGCTTCCGAGGGCAGTACTGCAAGCTTCGTGTACTGCAGGTGAGCGTGGGGGACCCACAAGCTTGCTCTTGAAGGATGAATGAATGGCATGATGTGGAACAATATACAACTCCATCGATGGCTTTTCTTGATTAAAAAATCCAAAAAACCATTACAATGTTTTGCAAAAAGTTAAAACTAACTTTTAAATAGCTGGCAGAAACCTGCTCGGCATCTTCCAAGTGTGGGGCATTGTATGAGGCACTTATCCACAAACCACATAGGCCTTGAGCTATTTCTCCTACCATATTGTATGGGGCAGGACCTCTGGGTGACCTTCTTGGGGAATCCAAGGTCAAGCCCTGGCCAGCAACTTCAACAGCAAATCCTGCACATGCTTTTTGAGTTTGTCAGTAGCTCTCTTCTGTTCTCATCAGGCTCAAGTGCTGCTGGAGTCTAGTAGGACGCTCCTGTCCTTGGGGTTTTTAGGACACTCACGGTTCTCCCAGACTAAGTCCTTAGTCTGCATCCTTACTGTCGAGGAACCACATCATTGTACAGTACAGTGTGGGTCAAACCAAGGAGCTTACAATGCAGTTCCTGAACACCATCACCCTCAATATCTATATGTTTTTTTCACTTGGGGAGTAAAGGAAGACACCATTAGTTTTTGGAATACTAAAGAGGGAGGAAGTCCACACATTATCCTTAACCCCTTTTCTAGAAACAGAGTTCTAAACACAAATTTGAGGTAATCCTAGCAGATGGGCCGTGACTTTTATGAAAACATTACTAAATCAGTTGACCAAAGTTGCAGGGATCACTATCTTCAAAGCATGTTAATCCTTTTACTGTTCAGGAAAAAAAACAAAACAAAACAAAACTAGGAACGGCACAGCTTCTTGTGAAACACAAAGATAGATTTTATGTGTGTCACGCAATACTAAAAGAAAGGCATTACTAGTTGGCTAACAACAACTGTATACAATAACAAGAAGAAACCCCAGCTCTCTGATACGAATGCTATGAATGATCTTACCGTGGTTAACCATGGAGATGGGGAGACTATCACCTAGCTCCATTTGTCCTGCTGAGGGATGGGGTAGTAATTGTCTGAGGGTTTAATCAGTGTGTACAAACGTCATTTTCAAAGCAGATTAATGGTTTTGCTATCAAAGCAAAAGGTCAGGCCTACACAATCCTGCAAGTTAATGTGTTTAGAAGAAGCATCCCAGAAAATTTCATTTATAATTTCATGTTGTCTTTATTGGGACAGGCATTGTAATTATTGGCCTGATTTATTAATGAAATCTTTCCTTGATTCACTGTGCCTTGCTACCACGAAATGGCGACTCGGAAATTGTATTGAAAATTGTAGGACAGTCAACTCTTAATGACGTCCACCATGAAAGAGAGAGGCACTGGGCAGATTATCCAAAACTGGTGGCTGCTTTTTAAATAATCAGCTACAGTAAGCCTTGGATATATTTTAAATTAAATGTGGGTGCATCTGACGCACCTGGCAATTTGCTGAGCCACTCCGTAATGGAAAAGCCATCTCTTGAGAAGTTAGAAAGCGTTTCTTCTTTCCACACTCTGCTCTTCCCTCTCCGAGTCTGCTTAATCACCAGCGGCCTTACCTAGACCTGATCACGACACACGCTGTGAACGCTGAAATGAAAGAACACTGGCGTTGTGTTCCCAGGATGGAGCCGACTACAATGTGGGCGTGTGTGTACCCGATTCCTGTGCTGAGGAGGACGTGGCTGCGATGTCTCAGCTGGGTAGGTACAGACAGAACACCTGCTGGAACTATCGTCTCGGCACAAAGTTTGAAAAACCCCGGTTCCTTAGAACCAAGAAAGGCAATTCCTTCAGGATTGAACCAATCTTTCATCTTGATCAATCCAATAAACTGAGGATAGGGGAGTTCAGGGGAGCTTGGGACGTGCTGGAATCCTAATGCAGTAGGCAGGAAGGAAGGGAAAGATAATGAGGAGGAGGTAGGAGCTGAATTTTATGGAATAAAAGTTGAAAGTTTAACAATCTTCTCACACTCACAGCTGCCTGGCTAGGCCTGCAGGAAGGATGGGGGTGGTGTCTGGTTTCCATAGTGTGAGTGTTCTGTGCTCTGGCCCACTTGTGGCAATCTGTCACCTGCCAAGCCCACAAGGCCATTCTGAACTAGGATTGTGTGAGGTCAGTGTGTTGTGAAGGATTATCGTTAAGAGCCCAGCATTTGATCCTGGTTGTCGCCTCCCAGCTGTGTGATCCTGGGCCAATCACTTAATCACCCCATGCTTCAGTCTCTTCCTCCGTCCAGTGAAGGGTGGGCCCAGCCTGGCTCGAACGCTCCGTGGCCTGGCCTTATAATCCCTCTGTTCTTACATATGCAGAAGGAATACATTTTAGTCTCCATGGAAACCGGTTTGACTTCCTCCGAGCCTTTCAAAATTTTCCAAGCAAGAGCTTTAAAGCCTAAACTTTTGGCCACCAGTGTCCTTTTATTCTGGGCATCCAAATGAGAACCAACGTGACACATTATTAAGAGTTCTCCTTTGAAGTGTTGATATCGCAGCTGGATTCGATAACCTTAAACTGTCCTCTGAATTTGTGATGATCTTACAGCTTTGAGTACATTATCTATCGAGCCAAGTATTTCGTGTATTGCAAGAAAACCCCAACAAATTGTTATAAATTAAATTCAAATTTCCATTCTTGTTGGATACACTATAAATGTCCTAGAAACGAAGATAAATTTGCAGTTATTACTAAATTAGCATTTGAAGAGAATAGGTGACTTCCTAAGTCTAATGAGTTAATGGTCCTTATTATTTAAGAGATTGATCAATTAGCCTAGTTTTCAGACTCATGCTGAGCTTACTAGCAAGAGTTGGCATTAGGATAAAATGGAACATTAGAAATAATTACTGATAAAAAGATGCTTTGTGAAAGAAGCCTTCGGAGAAAAGCAAGGTGAAGGTTCTCTTTGAGGAAACCTGGGTGGTGTGAGCGGAGCTGATGTGGGTGGATGTCTTAGTGGAGTATAGTTCTCGCTGCCAAGTCATTTCTCCAGCTTCAGCACAGAGGCACCAGATAGAAATCGGAGGTCTTTGCCCAGGGGGAAATGTCCCCATCTGGAAAGGATTCGTCAGCTATTCCTTAAAACTTTTTGATGGAGTTGCCAATATATCCGCTACAGATGTGGGGACAACCAGCTCAGCAATGCCAGGAGGAAGCTGTTTGCGCAGATTTTACCCACCCCGAGCAGGGGAGCAGCGAGACCCTGCAGCAGACAGGCCGAGGAAAAACAACCCCCGTATTGCAGGGCAGGGAGAGACCTGGGCAGGTCAGAACGTATTGCTTTTGGCCAAAAGGCAAAGTACTGCACAGTTGTTGCCATAGAATGTTATAAAACTTCACCCAACAGACTTTACACGAATTCCTGAGAATAAAAATATGTAACACTAGAATGTTCAGGGTTGAGATTGAACTTGGGTGTGATGATTATGAAACCCAGTTATAGGCTATTTCCCTAGAGGTCCAGATCCATGCATTTTGGTGTCGCTTATTAACACATTCATTTCCCAGGGCTGCTGTAACAAATGACCACGAACTGGGTGACTTGAAACAACAGAAATTTATTTTCTCACAGTTCTGGAGACTAAAGTCTGAAGTGAGGGTGTTGATGAGATCGGTTCCTTCCAGAGGCACTCGGGGAAGAGTCTGGCTCATGCCTCTCTCCTAGGTGGTGGTGTTTGCAGAAGTTCTCTGCACTCTGGCTTGTAGACACATCATTCCAATCTCTACCTCCGCTGACGTGTGGTGTTCCTCCCTGTGTCTCTCTGTGTTCAAATTTCCCTTGTATAAGGACACCAGTCAAACTGTATTTAGGGCCCACCTCAACCTCATACAACCTCGTCCTAAGTTGTTTATATCTACGAAGACCCAATTTCCAAATAAGGTCACATTTACAGGTACCACGGGTTAGGACTTGGACCTTTTTGGGAGGACACATTCAACCCAGACCACCACCTAATACCTGCCTCCTAGTCTGGCTAGATTATCTGAGTTCCCTTAAACCCAACAAGGAGTCGGGCGGATGGTGACTCCCAGCCACTTAGCTCAGAGCCCCTCACATAGATTGTGCTTGACAAACATTAGACAAATCCTACTGAAGTTTAACTGTGAGGCAAGTGACCTACCTGATGAAAGGAACTGCACCAAGAGCTGAAAAAGAAGGGGCTGGTTTTAAGGATCTGATTAAAACTGAGTTGGCAAATTTTATTCAGACATAACACTGAAGGGCGACATATTTCCATTCTCAGGGACTCGCTCTAAGTCTGTCCCATCAGAAACTTTATAATATTTCATGATGATCACACTGTCCCGGTTTGCAGTGGCCAAAAGCAATGAGTTCTGAGCTGCTTAGAATCGGTGTTTAACAGTCCTTTACAATAAGCTGTAAACCGTCTCTTTCCTGTGCTCTCTTAGGCTAATTCCACCTTGCTTTGCCTGTTGGCATTACTAGGCCTGCGCAGTAGAACAGTGGTGCCGGCCCTGCAAAGGAAGGTCCCCCCACAGCTCTCTCTTAGGGGTTCCCTAAGTGCTGATCGAGAGAACTGGGCTCTTTCAATGGTAACTCCTTGAATTACCCACAGAACTGCCTTTCTGGCTAAAGATCTGAAAGGAATCCAAACCATTTCACGGAATACCATTTTCTATTCTCGATTTAATTCAGAAAATATGTATTGAGCAATTTTATATCTGGTTTTTGTATGAGACATCACACATATGTGCTGAGGGGTTCGAACAACTGGGAGTCACTCATTTCAGGAAACCTACCATTTAGTTAGCGAGCAGAGTATGTGTGCCTGCTCTTAGGAAACAGTGTCAGGAAAGAAATGTTCAGGCTCACTTTGAGTGCAAGGGATGGGCATGTAGAACAAAGCAGAGGTGCTATGGAGAGTGCAGGGAGGGAGAGGAAGGCGGTGGGGGAGTTTATAGAGAGGGCCCGAGGTGGCCTTGAGTTAGTGAAGAGGTCGGGGTGGGGTGAGAAGTGGCTGGAAAACAGATCCAACAGAGGTTTCCAATAAAAGTTTCGTTTTCCCCTTGTAGACCTGGAATCTGGCACAGTGTAGACATTTAAGGCTGATTGAACGTGTATGGGCTGCCAATTGGACTTATTTACTATGGCAGGATTTAGAGCCAGGATGTGGTTGATACACACACACACACACACACACACACACAGAATACTTAATTCCTTTAAAATTAGAAATAAAACTTCCAAGCGGAGCATACATGTGTTGGCGGGTCAGTAAATTCTTTTTCAGTGGAAGTGTTTATTTGGAAGATTCAAATCAAATCCTAACGGGAAGTAGCTCTGAGGAACATCGGTTTAGGGCAAACGGAACTGGATTATGAGGAACGCTGCTGCCAGGTGCCCTGTGGGGACCTGCTGGTAACCTAGATCAAGCATCCCCATTCTTGGCCAGGGATGGGGACACATGGATGACTCCTTCTTGTTTCCGCCCTTCACATGTTACAATTCAGAACCACGATTAATCACATGAGATTCATCTTTCAGCTGCCTTTTTGGACATTTCAGAAACCCTCAGGTCACTGATTCATGGGAACCATGAATGTTGGAGGTGGCAGGGACACTAGAATACGTTGTGTCCAACGCATCCTTCCTTGTTACACAGATGAGGAAATGAGACCCAGAGAGGTGAAGTGACTTGCCCAGGGTCACACAGCAAACTAGCTCAAACCCGAGTCTCTGAATCCAAGTTAGGCAAGCTGGTGCGGTGAGATGAGGCAGCACGAGGAACACCCAACATCTATTAAACTCTTACTGCGTGCCAGGCACTGTTCCAAGTGCTTTTCAATTATTGTCATTCAGTTCCCACAACAACCCTGTGATGTAGGTACTATTATTATCCCCATTTTACCAAGTGGGAAACTGTCCCCCTACTTTGCCGAGGTTTTGGAAGTCCCCTGGTCCTGGTTCTCATAGAGTGCTCCCAGATTAGCAGCAGGAGCACCTGAGAACTTGTCAGACGTGCAAAGGCTTAGGTCCCACCCCAGTCTCCTGGCTCAGAAGCTTGGAGGCAGGGGAGGCCGAGAGTAATCCATTTAACAGGCCCTCCAGGTAACTCTGAGACCCCTCAGTTTGAGACAACTGCCCTAATCTTACCAGAAAGATCTTTACAAACAATTTCTTCCAGTGCATCAGCAGCCATGTCCTAAGTTGATGCTTCTAAGCTTCAGTTTCAGAAGGCACCTTTCCCCAGACTGTGGGCTTCCACTGTATTCTTCCACCGTACATTGCACAGCTCTCCCTCGGGGCGACTTGCTCGCAAATAGATCTGAGTCAGTAATGACACATTTTTAAGCTTGTCATTCCTAGCACTGTGCGCTGGGAAAGGATTTGAGAGCAGGCTGAGAATTCCGGAGACCTGGGTCCACTCCTGGCCGGGCTAAGAGTTCCTAGTTCTATGAGTTTCAGCATCTTTGTTCCTAATTTCTCCCCTTCTGTAAATCGGATACATTCAAAGCCCAGCTGCTCTTTTTTTT